CAGAATAGAACTAGAGTAGAGTAGAGTAGAATAGAGTAGAGTAGAGTAGAATAGAATAGAATAGAATAGAATAGAATAGAATAGAACTAGAGTAGAGTAGAATAGAGTAGAATAGAATAGAATAGAATAGAATAGAATAGAATAGAATAGAATAGAACTAGAGTAGAGTAGAGTAGAGTAGAGTAGAATAGAATAGAATAGAATAGAACAGAACAGAATAGAACTAGAGTAGAGTAGAGTAGAGTAGAGTAGAGTAGAGTAGAGTAGAATAGAATAGAATAGAATAGAACTAGAGTAGAGTAGAGTAGAGTAGAATAGAATAGAATAGAACAGAACAGAATAGAACTAGAGTAGAGTAGAGTAGAGTAGAGTAGAGTAGAGTAGAATAGAATAGAATAGAATAGAACTAGAGTAGAGTAGAATAGAATAGAATAGAATAGAATAGAATAGAACTAGAGTAGAGTAGAATAGAATAGAATAGAATAGAATAGAATAGAACAGAACAGAATAGAACTAGAGTAGAGTAGAATAGAATAGAATAGAATAGAATAGAATAGAATAGAATAGAACAGAACTAGAGTAGAGTAGAGTAGAATAGAATAGAATAGAATAGAATAGAACAGAATAGAATAGAACTAGAGTAGAGTAGAGTAGAATAGAATAGAATAGAATAGAATAGAACAGAACAGAATAGAACTAGAGTAGAGTAGAGTAGAGTACAGTAGAGTAGAATAGAATAGAATAGAATAGAACAGAACAAGAGTAGAGTAGAGTAGAGTAGAGTAGAATAGAATAGAATAGAATAGAACAGAATAGAACTAGAGTAGAGTAGAGTAGAGTAGAGTAGAATAGAATAGAATAGAATAGAACAGAATAGAACAGAACAAGAGTAGAGTAGAGTAGAATAGAATAGAATAGAACAGAATAGAATAGAACTAGAGTAGAGTAGAATAGAATAGAATAGAATAGAATAGAATAGAACAGAACAAGAGTAGAGTAGAGTAGAGTAGAGTAGAATAGAATAGAATAGAATAGAACAGAATAGAATAGAACTAGAGTAGAGTAGAGTAGAGTAGAATAGAATAGAATAGAATAGAACAGAACAGAATAGAACTAGAGTAGAGTAGAATAGAATAGAATAGAATAGAATAGAATAGAATAGAATAGAACAGAACAAGAGTAGAGTAGAGTAGAGTAGAATAGAATAGAATAGAATAGAACAGAATAGAACTAGAGTAGAATAGAGTAGAGTAGAATAGAATAGAATAGAATAGAACAGAAGAGAACAGAACAAGAGTAGAGTAGAGTAGAATAGAATAGAATAGAACAGAATAGAATAGAACTAGAGTAGAATAGAATAGAATAGAATAGAATAGAATAGAACAGAACAAGAGTAGAGTAGAGTAGAGTAGAATAGAATAGAATAGAATAGAACAGAATAGAATAGAACAGAACAAGAGTAGAGTAGAGTAGAGTAGAGTAGAATAGAATAGAATAGAATAGAATAGAATAGAATAGAATAGAATAGAACAGAACAAGAGTAGAGTAGAGTAGAGTAGAGTAGAGTAGAGTAGAGTAGAATAGAATAGAATAGAGTAGAGTAGAGTAGAGTAGAGTAGAGTAGAGTAGAGTAGAATAGAATAGAATAGAATAGAATAGAATAGAACAGAACAAGAGTAGAGTAGAGTAGAGTAGAATAGAATAGAATAGAATAGAACAGAAGAGAACAGAACAAGAGTAGAGTAGAGTAGAATAGAATAGAATAGAACAGAATAGAATAGAACTAGAGTAGAATAGAATAGAATAGAATAGAATAGAATAGAACAGAACAAGAGTAGAGTAGAGTAGAGTAGAGTAGAGTAGAGTAGAATAGAATAGAATAGAATAGAATAGAATAGAATAGAATAGAATAGAATAGAATAGAATAAAAAAGAACAGAACAAGAGTAGAGTAGAATAGAATAGAATAGAATAGAATAGAATAGAATAGAATAGAACAGAACAAGAGTAGAGTAGAGTAGAGTAGAGTAGAATAGAATAGAATAGAACAGAATAGAATAGAACTAGAGTAGAATAGAATAGAATAGAATAGAATAGAACAGAACAAGAGTAGAGTAGAGTAGAGTAGAGTAGAGTAGAGTAGAATAGAATAGAATAGAATAGAATAGAATAGAATAGAATAGAATAGAATAGAATAGAATAGAATAGAATAGAATAGAATAGAATAGAACAGAACAGAACAGAACAGAACAGAACAGAATAGAATAGAATAGAATAGAATAAAAAAGAACAGAACAAGAGTAGAGTAGAATAGAATAGAATAGAATAGAATAGAATAGAATAGAATAGAATAGAACAGAACAAGAGTAGAGTAGAGTAGAGTAGAGTAGAATAGAATAGAATAGAACAGAACAGAACAGAACAGAACAGAACAGAACAGAATAGAACAGAATAGAATAGAAAAAAATAGAATGGAATGGAATGAATTAGAATGGAATAGGAATAGGAATAGGACCTCTGAGGTCCCTTCCCAACCCTAGGGAGGTTGTAGGCTCTAAAGTAACCCTGAACCCATTCCCCCTTTTGCCAGGCAGGAAACGAAAGAAACAGTAACAAAAAAAAGGGATAATAGGATAACAAACAAACGCTGCCCGTTGCAATTTTGTTACTCATTGATAAGAGCCAGGGCTACTCCAGGTCGCCTCTCGCTTTGCAACAGGGAGGAGGAGGAGGCTCTTACACCCCACCCGTGCATTTTTTTTTTTGCACGCGTGCATTTCTCCCTTTCCAGCCCTGAAAGCGCAGGCTCTGCGCGCGATCCTCCTCCACACGTGCGCTCCAGCACCTGCGCCGGCTGACGCAACCCCCGGCGGGAGGCGGAGGCGTTTTGCTATAAGCCACGCCGAAGCTCACCTGATACTCCATCCTGGGAACCCGGGCCGGACGGGCGCTGAGCCACCGGCGCCAAGCCCGAAAAGCGGCCGGCCGAGTTGCTGCGGGCGCCGGTTGCAGAACGAGCGCCAGGCACCAAGCCCGCACCCGGCGCGAGCCCATGGCCAGGCGAGTGACGTCAGCAGCCAGCCCCGCCCACCCCGAGGAGGAGGAGGCTGCTGCTGCTGCTGAAGCTGCACCGCCGGCCACGCCCCTCCGCCTTCTCCTTCCGTGCGCAGGCGCCTGGAGATGCAGGGTGAGAAGACAAAAAAAAAAAAAAGGACGCCCTCGCGGCCATCTTTGGCAAGGGCAGATTCCCCCCCCCCGTATAAGTCTGCCATGCCAGCTTGGGTCTCGGTAGAGATAGAAAGGATTGAGAAGAGGGAGAGGGACTCGCAGCTTGCGGGGTCGCTTGATCAAAAATAGTGTATGAGCTGAGAGGTCATCTAGTCTGACACCCCCCCCCCCCGTGCCCACAAGCAGGAGGTTGTATGTGTGTATACCATTCTGGGCCAAATGGGTTCTCCAGTCTCTTAAGAAGAGGTTGGACTACCATGTGTCTGAAGTGGCGGAGGGTTTCCTGCCTAAGTAGGAGGTTGGACTAGAAGACCTCCAAGGTCCCTTCCGACTCTGTTATTCTATTCTATTCTATTCTATTCCATTCCATTCCATTCTTCTATTTTATTCTATTCCATTCCATTTTTAATTCTATTCCATTCTATTCTATTCCATTCTTCTCTTTTCTATTCTATTCTATTCCATTCTATTCCATTCTTCTATTCCATTCCAATTGTAATTCCATTCCATTCCATTCTTCTATTCTATTCCATTCCATTTGTAATTCTATTCTATTCCATTCTCCTATTCTATTCCATTCTTCTATTCTATTCCATTCTTCTATTCTATTCTATTCTATTCCATTCTTCTATTCCATTCCATTCTTCTATTTTATTCTATTCCATTCCATTTTTAATTCTATTCCATTCCATTCTATTCCATTCTTCTATTTTATTCTATTCTATTCTATTCTATTCCATTCTTCTATTCCATTCCAATTGTAATTCCATTCCATTCCATTCTTCTATTCTATTCTATTCCATTATTCTATTCTATTCCATTCCATTTGTAATTCTATTCTATTCCATTCTTCTATTCTATTCTATTCCATTCTTCTTTTCTATTCCATTCTTCTATTTTATTCTATTCCATTCCATTTGTAATTCTATTCTATTCCATTCTCCTATTCTATTCCATTCTATTCCATTCCATTCCATCCCATCCCATCCCATCCCATTATTCTATTCTATTCTATTCCATTATTCTATTTTATTCTATTCCATTCCATTTGTAATTCTATTCTATTCCATTCTCCTATTCTATTCCATTCTTCTATTCCATTCCATCCCATCCCATCCCATTATTCTATTCTATTCTATTCCATTATTCTATTCTATTCCATTATTCTATTTTATTCTATTCCATTCCATTTATAATTCTATTCTATTCCATTCTCCTATTCCATTCCATCCCATTCCATTCCATTCCATTCCAATTTTAATTCCATTCCATTCCATTATTCCATTCAAATTGTAATTCTATTCTGTTCCATTCCATTCCATTCCACTTTATTCCATTCCATTCCATACCATTTCTATTTCTATTCCTTATTCTTATAATCCTAATTCTATTATTCTATTTTAACCGGGGGTTTAAAACCAGCAGATTTTTCACCCAGTTCAGGGAAGCCACGTTCAGCCCCGCCAGAAAACTTCCTAGAAGTTGCGAGAAAAACTCAAGCAGCGCCTGCTCTTTTAAAAGAAAACTTTTGTGTGTTTGTGTGTAAATGTCTCTGTGTGTTCTCAAGCAAGTTTTGTGAATGGCCGATAATAATACCACGCCGGGATTCCCAGCCTTGTGCATCAATATTTACTTTTTTGCACACTGTGTTGAAATGGACAAACAAGCCATAATAAACAAGAGTTCACGGAGTTAATCATTGGCTTGGCGTGTCTCTGGGTGTTTTGATTTTGTTACAACGGAACAACCAAAAAAAAAAAAAGCCACTCGTGATTTTATTGTTTTTTCATAGCTTTTAATTTTTTCTTATATATAGATATATATAATTTTTTAATTTTTTTTTGCAGTTCTTCTAGCTTCATTCATTACTTTCTCCCGGGGTTAATTCACGTTAAATGATCCGTAGGTTACTAACTCCGAGCCTTTGTTGCGGGGCTGAGAATCCAATTCCAGCAGGTATAATAAATGCGTTCAATTCCAATTTCATTCATTCGAGGAAGATTTCGTCTCGGCGTCGCAAAGAGACCAACATGATAAACCAAAAGTTCCATCTGCAGAATCAAAAGAGTCAGAAGAGCTCGAGACGGCAAACTTTTCAAGACTGCCGATGGTTATTTTTCTTTTTCTTTTTTTTTTTCTTTTTAAATCACTTAGCCTCCTGCAAGAGAGCTAAGCTTCCGAAAGGGAGGAAGGAAGCACGTCGTGGATTTTACTATCCCAGGAAAAAGGGGTTTTTTCCTTTTTTTTAAAAAAAAAAAAGGAGGGAAAAAAATTGCAAAATTAAAGCGAGGGGGAGAGAGAGAGAGAGAAAAAAAAAAGAAAAGAAAGCGAGAGTGTGCTATTTGTGCTGCGAGAAACAGGCCTAAAAGCAAACACCGGGATCATATCCGTGGTCACCAATGTCCAGCTAAATTCTTTGGCCCAGGTTGGGATCTTGACCGGAAGACAATGAATGCGAGTAGTACCTATTTTTATCAGATTCCCAGCCCTCGTCTCCCTGCAGCGAAATATGAAATTGACAGCAGCCGATTCGTGCCAGCCTTCAAGCAAAGACCTCCAAATCCAGGAAGGAAGGGGGAACCCATTTCGGGAATACAAGAAACCATTTCAAAAAAAAAATTAAAATAAAATAAAATAAAATAAAAATAAAATAAATGGCAAGCCACATGCTTTCGGCCACGGCTCCAAGTCCAATTTAGGTCCTTGCAGAGTTTTCCATCAATTTGCAATTTTCGGAGACCTGGAAATCGTCCGAATCTGACTATTCCCATTGTTCTGTCACCCCCGCAAAAAAGAAAGAAAGAAAGGGGGAGAGGGGGAAATCATAAAAAAAATATATATATAAGAAAGCACAATGCGTTAAAATCTCCGTCTCGACGCGATTTGGATTCAAAAGACCCGGTCGAACTCAGTCTGATTGGTTGCCGCGGGGTTCCTGCCCTGATTGGCCGGCTGCTGGGGCATGTGCCCGCCTCTTCTCCTGGGCGGGGCCAAGTACTCGAACATGGATTGGTTGTGGGTGGACAGCATGTTCTTGAGATCGGAAGGCATGGGATCCGACCAGAAGAAGTCGTGGTTCAGGGCGTCGTCGCTGTCGATCCGCTGGGCGGGATCCAGCACCAGCAGCTTGTCGATGAGATCCAAGGCGTAGGGATCTTTGACGTAAGCCTTCAGCCGCTCCTTCACTTTGCGCTTCTGTCCCTTGGGGAGGTCCAGCTTCTGGTAGAGCTCGTATTTGTCCACGTTGGGCCAGACCTGAAAGAAGGAAGAGGAATTAAGAGACGACCTGCATCTACAGACAAAAAGGACTAGGGGAGGATATGATAGCAGTCTTCCGGTATTTGAGGGGCTGCCCCAAAGAAGAGGAGGGGTCAACTTATTCTCTAAAGCACCTGAAGGCAGGATGAGAAACAATGGATGGAAACTAATCAAGGAGAGAAGCAACCTGGAACTAAGGAGAAAGTTCCTAACTGTGAAGACAATTAACCAGTGGAACAGATTGCCACCAGAAATCGTGGGTGCTCCATCGCTGGAGGTTTTTAAGCAGATACTGGACAGTCACTTGTCTGAAATGGTATAGGGCAGTGATGGCTAACTATCACAAGCGTGCCGGGGGGGGCGGAGGTTCGTACATGCGCATGCGTGCCCTGCGCAACCCCCCCTCCCCCAGGCACGCGATGGCCCGGTAGGCCCGTTTTTCTTTCTCACCTGACTCCAGAACCTCTCTATGCATCTGGGGAGAGCGAAGACAGCCTTCCCCACTCCCTCGGAGGCCTGAAATGGCCCATTTCCCAACTCCCATTTGGACAGGAAGTGACGTTTTTTGCTGTCCCCAGCCTCCAGAGCCTCTCTAGGAGTCTCTCCCCCCTACCCTGGCACGCGATGGTCTGGTAGGCACATTTTTCTTTCTCACCTGACTCCAGATCCTCTCTATGCATCTGGGGAGGGCGAAAACAGCCTTCCCCACCCTCTCGGAGGCCCTCCGGAGGCAGGAAACAGCCTGTTTCCCTACTTCTGGTGGGCCCAGAAGGCCCGAAAATCAGCTGTCCGGCGTGTGCATGCGCGCCAGAGCTGAACCGGCGTGCCCACTGATATGGCCACCCGTGGCATGCGTGCCATAGGTTTGCCATCACGGGTATATGGTCTCCTGCTTGAGCAGGGGTTGGACTAGAAGACCTCCAAGGTCCCTTCCAACTGTGTGATTCTGTTATTATTCCAATTTTATCTCTTTTTGAGCCAAAAGGATTGTTCATTTGGGGATAGCAAAGGCCAAATTTCTCTAAGTTCACCCCTCACAAAAACAATTGCAGGAATTGGGTTTGGCCAGTCTAGAGAAAAGAAGGACTATGGGGGACATGATAGCGGTATTCCAGTATTTGAGGGGTTGCCACAAAGAAGAGGGGTGTCAAATTATTTTCCAAAGCACCAGAGGGCAGGACAAGAAACAACGGATGGAAACTAAATCAAGGAGAAAAGAACTGAGGAGTAACTTCCTAACAGTGAGGACAATTAACCAGTGGAACAGTTTGCCACCAGAAGTTGTGGGTGCTTCATCCCTGGAGGTTTTTAAGAAGTGGCTGGACAGTCATTTGTCAGGAATGGGATAGGGTCTCCTGCTTGAGAGCAGGGGACTGGACTAGAAGATCTCCAAGGTCCCTTCCAGTTCTGTTATTCTGTTATTGTTACTGTTATTGCTCAGCTCAACTTCCAAAATTCAGTTGGAAAACACAGAAAGAGGTACAGGTAATCCTCAACTTAACAGCCACAATCGTAAGGTATTTGTTAAGCAAATTTTGTCCCATCTTACGACTATCCTTGCCACGTTTGTTAAGTGAATCTGGCTTCCCTATTGACTTGGCTTGTCACGTGACACAGCAACGTGACACAGCCACCGTCATAAATACGAGTCAGTTGCCAGACATCCGAATTCTGATCGCGTGGCTGTGGGGATGCTGCAACGGTCATAAGTGTAAAACACGGACCTAAATCACTTTTTTCCAGGGCCGTCGTTATTTCCAACGGCCGCTAAGTGAATGGGTCATAAGTCAAGGGCTGCCTGGAGTTCGTCGGTTCTCACCTCGGGGGTGATGGAGCCGCAGAGCTGGCTGATCAGGGTGAGCTGGTGCTGTTCCGTGTTGCCTTGCATGATGGGGCTCCTCGTCCACATCTCCGCCATGATGCAGCCGGCACCCCAAAGATCGATGGGGGGCCCATAATCGCGTTCTCCTTAAAAAAAACGAATGTCGAGTTAATTTTCCTAAAGGGGAGATTTCCTAAAAGCTGCTTTGGAAAATGACAATTGACTTCCCATTTTCCCTGCCTAATTTGCCAGGCTTGGGGGAAGCCAAGGCCCATAATTCATGAGTGAGCCCAGCCATATGGGAACTGAAGTTACGTATGGACCTCCGATACTCCATCAGTCCACAAGCAAAGGAGAAGAACCCAAAGGTTGGCCCAAGGCCCATAATTCATGAGCGAGCCCAGCCATATGGGAACTGAAGTTACGTATGGAGCTCCGATACTCCATCAGTCCACAAGCAAAGGAGAAGAACCCAAAGGTTGACCCAAGGCCCATAATTCATGAGTGAGCCCAGCCATATGGGAACTGAAGTTACGTATGGAGCTCCGATACTCCATCAGTCCACAAGCAAAGGAGAAGAACCCAAAGGTTGACCCAAGGCCCATAATTCATGAGTGAGCCCAGCCTTATGGGAACTGAAGTTACGTATGGACCTCCGATACTCTATCAGTCCACAAGCAGAAGAGAAGAACCCAAAGGCTGACCGACTCCTCCTTACCGAGCAGCAGTTCTGGTGGACGGTACCACAAAGTCACCACTCGGTTGGTGTAGCGATTTGGCTGGCTGTTTTTGGCCAGGCTGAAAGCTCGGGCCAAGCCAAAATCGGCCAATTTCAAGACGCCGTCCCGTGTGATGAGCACGTTGGCGGCTTTCATGTCTCGGTGAAGGATCTGAGAGGGGAGGGGAAAAAGACGGAGAGTTGGGTTTACTTTATTGTCATTACACCTCGTACAAAGAAATTAAATGCCATCTTCAGTGTCCAGTTTAGCTATAAAAATAAAACACAAACGCACATCCTTTGCCTTCTATACAATTGAACTGAAAACCCCTGATATTGCATTAATATTAAACTATACTAAACTAAACTAATATTAAACTATATTAATATTAATATTAAACTATACTGGAGCCGCATGTAGCTCTTTCACCCCTCTGCTGCGGCTCCCTGTTGCTCAAAATATGTGTCACAACCGCCAATATGCAACACTGCCGGCACACAATTTATTGAGCTTTTCAACCCCCCGGTAGGCCAACCATGGATAAATCCAAGAAAAGTTTCAGAAGAAAACAGAACATTTAATTCGACTACATATCTAATTTTGTGGCCGCTCAAGAAATAACCAGGCACGGGAAGGGTTTTGTGGCTCCCGGTGTTTTCTTTTCTGTGGGAAAGGGGTCCAAATGGCTCTTTTGAGTGTTTAAGGTTGCAGACCCCTGCACTATACAATAGAATTCAATATAGTTACTGCTCTGGGATAGAAGCTGTTTTTCAGCCTATTTGTCCTTGTTTTTATGATCCTGTACCGTCTGCCAGATGGTAATAGTTCAAAAAAAAAAAAAAAAGTGGGCGTGCCCAGGGTGAGATGGATCTTTAAGAATGTTTTGAACTTTCCTAAGGGAGTAGGGACATGGTGGCTCAGTGGCTAAGACACTGAGCTTGTCGATCGAAAGGTCGGCAGTTCAGCGGTTCGAATCCCTAGTGCCGCGTAAGGGGGTGAGCTCCCGTGACTTGTCCCAGCTTCTGCCAACCTAGCAGTTCAAAAGCACGTTAAAAAAATGCAAGTAGGAAAATAGGGACCACCTTTGGTGGGAAGGGAAGAGCGTTCCGTGCGCCTTTGGCGTTGAGTCATGCCGGCCACGTGACCACGGAGACGTCTTCGGACAGTGCTGGCTCTTCGGCTTTGAAACGGAGACGAGCACTGCCCCCTAGAGTCGGGAATGACTAGCACCCATGTGCGAGGGGAACCTTTACCTTTAAGGCAGCGGGAGCTATAAAGCTCTTCCAAAGAGGGGAGAGGGCAACTAATGATCCTCTGGGCAATGACGTTGACCGTCTGGAGCGCTGTCCTATCTGCCACTGTGCAATGGGCAAACCATACACAGGTGCAGTAAATAAAAATATTCTCTGTGGTGCAGCAGTAGAACTTGGTCACCAGTTTTCCATTCAGTTGTTGTTTCCTGAGAAGTCTCAGGTCGTAGAATCTCTGCTGGGCCCTTTTGACCAGTGCTGCAATGTGAGCGCCCCAGGTCAGGTCCTCTTTATGACAACACCCAGAAACTTAAAACTGGCCACTTGCTCCACTCGGTCTCCATTGATAAGCAAAGGCTGGATGTCTTGATCTATTCCTTCTGCAGTCCACTATAATAAGCTCCTTGGTCTTATTGGGGTTAAGGACCAAGTTATTGTCTCCACACCACGAAAGCAACCGGCCCACCTTGTCTCAATAGGCAGAATCGTCCCCCCTACCCTCCACCCGGAAATGAGTCCCACCACTGTTGTATCTTCTGCAAATTTAATAATAGTATTACTGGCGTGAGTGGGAGAAATATTTGTTGTTTTCAAAGAAAGACCAGCCCATATTTCCACGGTCTAAGAAGCCCGAAGGGAAATCCACCCACCCACACTTACTTACTTAATTTTATTTATATACCGCCCATTCTCCCGAAGGGCTCAGGGCGGTGTACAGCCAAAATTAAAATACAAATATGCAAATATACAATATCTAGCTAAAATTAATTAAAATCAAATAGTTTTGGCCGAATTTTAAAACCCAAAATTAAAACCCAATTTAAAATCAATCAATTTGATAGCCCCCGCCTGTCGGAACAGTAGGGTCTTGAGGGCGCGGCGAAAAACCCGGAGGTCAGAGATGTTATGAATATCCGGGTGCCATTCATTCCAGAGGGCAGGAGCTCCCACAGAGAAGGCTCTCCTCCTGGGTGTCGCCAGCCGACATAACTTGGCTGACAGCACCCTGAGGAGTCCCTCTCTGTGGGAGCGAACTGGTCGGTGGGAGGCTGTTGGTGGCAGAAGACGGTCCCGTAGATATCCTGGTCCTATGCCACGGAGCGCTTTAAAGGTGGTGACCAACACTTTGAATTGCACTCGGAAGACCACTGGGAGCCAGTGCAGCTCGCGCAGGAGAGGTGTTACATGGGCATAATGAGGTGCGCCCATAACCTTGATAGTACAGTGGTTTAGTGCACCCTGTTATTAACACAGCTGCCTGCAATTTACTGCTGGTTTGAATCTCTCCAAGGCTCAACGTTGACTCAGCCTTCCATCCTTTCTAAGGTAGGTGAAATGAGGACCCAGTTTGTGGGGGCAATAAGCTGACTTTGTATAAAAATATACAAAAGAATGAAGGCTATTGCTTAACGCGTTGTAAGCCGCCCTGAGTCTCCGGAGAAGGGCGGCATATAAATCAAATTTAAAAAAAAAGAAAAGAAAGAGAAAGAAAGAGAAGAGAAAGGAAGGAAGGAAGGAAGGAAGGAAGGAAAGGAAGGAAGGAAGGAAGAAAGAAAGAAAGAAAGAAAGAAAGAAAGAAAGAAAGAAAGAAAGAAAGAAAGAAAGAAAGAAAGAAAGAAAGAAAGAAAGAAGCTGACTTTGTATAAAATATACAAAAGGATGAAGGCTATTGCTTAACGCGTTGTAAGCCGCCCTGAGTCTCTGGAGAAGGGCGGCATATAAATCAAATTAAAAAAAAAAAGAAAAGAAAGAGAAGGAAGGAAGGAAGGAAGGAAGGAAGGAAGGAAGGAAAGAAAGAAAGAAAGAAAGAAAGAAAGAAAGAAAGAAAGAAAGAAAGAAAGAAAGAAAGAAGCTGACTTTGTATAAAATATACAAAAGGATGAAGGCTATTGCTTAACGCGTTGTAAGCCGCCCTGAGTCTCCGGAGAAGGGCGGCATATAAATCAAATTAAAAAAGAAAAGAAAAGAAAGAGAAGGAAGGAAGGAAGGAAGGAAGGAAGGAAGGAAGGAAGGAAGGAAGGAAGGAAAGAAAGAAAGAAAGAAAGAAAGAAAGAAAGAAAGAAAGAAAGAAAGAAAGAAAGAAAGAAAGAAGCTGACTTTGTATAAAATATACAAAAGGATGAAGGCTATTGCTTAACGCGTTGTAAGCCGCCCTGAGTCTCCGGAGAAGGGCGGCATATAAATCAAATTAAAAAAGAAAAGAAAAGAAAGAGAAGGAAGGAAGGAAGGAAGGAAGGAAGGAAGGAAGGAAGGAAGGAAGGAAGGAAGGAAAGAAAGAAAGAAAGAAAGAAAGAAAGAAAGAAATAAAGAAAGAAAGAAAGAAAGAAAGAAAGAAAGAAAGAAAGAAGCTGACTTTGTATAAAATATACAAAAGGATGAAGGCTATTGCTTAACGCGTTGTAAGCCGCCCTGAGTCTCCGGAGAAGGGCGGCATATAAATCAAATTAAAAAAAAAAACCACCCGCGCGGCCGCATTCTGGACCAGCTGGAGCCTCCGAGTGCTCTTCAAGGGGAGCCCCATGTAGAGAGCGTTACAATAGTCCAGACGGGAAGGGACGAGGGCGTGAGTGACCGTGCGCAAGGCGTCCCGGTCCAGAAAGGGACACCTCTCACCTTATTCCGGTGGATGTAGTAGAGGCCATTCAAAAGCATCTGCATGACTTTCTTGATCTCGGAGAGCGTGAACTTGACGTGGGCGTTGCTGAGAAGGCCAGCCAGGTCGTGCTCGCAGAAGTCGAAGACCAGGTAGATGCTGCCTTTGCAACGATTGTAGGGAGAAGCTGCAGGGAGGAAAGGAAAATAATTTTGAGATTTTATCCGCTGTTCCCAAAGATGGTTTTTTTTTCTTCTTCTTCCAAGAAGCAACTGGAGTTTTCTGGGGTTTTTTTTTTTTTCTTTGAAGACGTTTCGCTTTTCATCCAGGAAGCTTCTTCAGTTCTGACTGGATGGTGGTGGGGAATGGAAGGATTGATACTCCTGGCAGACAGCTGGTCCTTTTGCGTCCTTTTAAAGGGTCGTTGGGGCCTGCGTCGCAAACCGAAGCGCAAATGGTTCCCACGGTCCGTTAATTTTTCCGGAAATAAAAAATTTCATTTTTTTCTTCCATTCCCCGCCATCCAGTCGGAGCTGAAGAAGCTTCTTGGATGAGGAGCGAAACGCCTTCAAAGAAAAACCCAGAAAGTCCAGTTGCCTCTTGAAAAAAAAAAAGAAGAGCACCTTTGGTGAACCATGAGCTGAGAATCTCCAGAGACATTGATCGGCTACTCAAAGAGCCATTTGGACCCGTTTCCCACAGAAAAGAAAACACCGGGAGTCACAAAACCTGGGTGGGCGTGGCCAACTCGACGTCACTCACTTCCACCAGTCACATGACCCCCCCAAGCCACGCCTACCCAGCCGGTCATTAGGGCAGAGAACCGGTTGTTAAAAAAACACCGGGAACCACAAAATCCTTTTGACATCACTCTCTCTCCCCTCCCTCCCTCTCTCTCTGTATCTCTCTATGTCTCTCTCTCTCCCCCTCTCTATCTCTCTCTGTCTCTCTCTCTCCCCCTCTCTATCTCTCTGTCTCTCTCTCTCCCTCTCTCTCTGTATCTATGTCTCTCTCTCTCTCCCTCTCTCTGTATCTCTCTATGTCTCTCTCTCTCCCTCTCTCTCTGTATCTCTCTGTCTCTCTCTCCCTCTCTCTCTGTATCTCTCTGTCTCTCTCTCTCCCTCTCTCTCTGTATCTCTCTGTCTCTCTCTCTCCCTCTCTCTCTGTATCTATGTCTCTCTCTCTCTCCCTCTCTCTGTATCTCTCTATGTCTCTCTCTCTCCCTCTCTCTCTGTATCTCTCTGTCTCTCTCTCTCCCTCTCTCTCTGTATCTCTCTGTCTCTCTCTCTCCCTCTCTCTCTGTATCTCTCTATGTCTCTCTCTCTCCCCCTCTCTATCTCTCTCTGTCTCTCTCTCTCCCCCTCTCTCTGTATCTCTCTGTCTCTCTCTCTCCCTCTCTCTCTGTATCTCTCTGTCTCTCTCTCCCCCTCTCTGTATCTCTCTATGTCTCTCTCTCTCCCTCTCTCTCTGTATCTCTCTGTCTCTCTCTCCCTCTCTCTCTGTATCTCTCTGTCTCTCTCTCTCCCTCTCTCTCTGTATCTCTGTCTCTCTCTCTCCCTCTCTCTCTGTATCTATGTCTCTCTCTCTCTCCCTCTCTCTGTATCTCTCTATGTCTCTCTCTCTCCCTCTCTCTCTGTATCTCTCTGTCTCTCTCTCTCCCTCTCTCTCTGTATCTCTCTGTCTCTCTCTCTCCCTCTCTCTCTGTATCTCTCTGTCTCTCTCTCCCCCTCTCTATCTCTCTCTGTCTCTCTCTCTCCCCCTCTCTCTGTATCTCTCTGTCTCTCTCTCTCCCTCTCTCTCTGTATCTCTGTCTCTCTCTCTCCCCCTATCTCTGTCTCTCTCTCCCCTTCTCTATCTCTCTCTGTCTCTCTCTCTCCCCCTCTCTGTATCTCTCTATGTCTCTCTCTCTCTCTCTCTCTCTGTATCTCTCTATGTCTCTCTCTCTCCCTCTCTCTCTGTATCTCTCTGTCTCTCTCTCTCCCCCTCTCTCTGTATCTCTCTCCGTCTCTCTCTCTCCCTCTCTCTGTATCTCTCTATGTCTCTCTCTCTCCCTCTCTCTCTGTATCTCTCTATGTCTCTCTCTCTCCCTCTCTCTCTGTATCTCTCTCTGTCTCTCTCTCTCCCTCCCTCTCTCTGTATCTCTCTGTCTCTGCCCTGGCCGCTTCTCCATCCCCCACCGTTGCCCTTAACTTCTCAGGCCAGGCGAGGAGTGACTGGGAGGGGAGGACGAGGGGTGGGGCCAGCCAGTGGTGGGACCATTCGACAGGGAGCCACAGCAGAGGGCCCAAAGAGCCACATGTGGCTCCGGAGCACCAGATTGCTGATACCCGTGCTATTCCTGGCACCACGAAGCCAGTTCAGATTTAACAGCCGTTTGATTCGAACATGCAGCTCTTCCCTTCCAAAACCGTCTGTTGAATTGACATTGGACGCTAATTTATGCCAGCAGATTAAAATTAAGCCCTAGCAGTTTGCAGACAAATTTACCTTTAGTCCGGCAAATTTCAATGAGATTGACGACATTTTCGTGTTTCAGCAACTGCAGGATTTTAATCTCCCGTAAAGCTGTGATTGGAAACTAGAAGATAAAAAAAAGAGATGCACCATATTTGCACACAAAAAGCAGGAAGGGACACACTTCACCATAATTTCAAGCTGGGGAAACAGGTCATTTAAAAGAGAGGATTCGTGCCGATGCAGAAAGGCTGTAAAAATAGGATGCATTGTTATGTTTGTCTTGTTTTTTTACTGTGTTTTTGTCCTTTTTTTCCCCCCTTCGGTTTTTAAAAATGTTTAATAAAAACTATCTTTTAAAAAAATAAAAATAAAAGAGAGGATTCAAAAAGAAACAAAATTTCTGGTGGACATGTCCCAATGCAAAAAAATATTGGATTAAAATTAGAAGTTGGAGAGATAATTGGCTATAATATGGATTGGAAACCAGAAACGTTTTTACTGAGGATATTGAACAGAACTTACAGTAAAGAAATTAGATATTTGATTCTGCATATAATTACAAGGATAGTCTACGCACAGTCCTGGAAAAGTGAAAAGATCCTAACAGAGGAAGAAATAGTTAAGAAAATCCTGGACTGTGCGGAGATGGATAAATTAACGAAAGAAAGAAAAGGAAGATACAGAATATTATCAAGTATGGAATAAGTGGTATGATTGGCTCGAGATTAGGGAAAGTAAAGGTGAATAAACAATGGAGAGAAGACGGTGACAAACATGTAAAATATTGTAAATGAAGAAAATTAAAAATAAAGGGACGATAAAGATAATGATAATAAAGGATGAGAAAAAAGGGGAATGTATATAGTAGAAAGTAGGAGGAACAAAACTGATATGTAAAAAGAAACACACAGTGTGTTTTGCTTTGTATGTTGTGTTGTGTTGTTGTAAAATCAATAAAAAAAAAAGAAAAAGAACCAGAAAAGACTGCCAAGGCGAGCTAATCATCACACAGATAAGCAGGGATTAATACCAGACCAACAATCAAGTAAACAATACCCCGATCAAGGAACTATGGAACCAAACAGTAAAGAAAAGCCTTATCCAAGCACAATCAAGAACTCCAACCAACACAATCCACCAGTAGATAAACAGAGAATAAACCCCCCTCCCTTTTTAGCACTGATGATTTTCCCGAGTTGGGCAATGAAATGTTTTGCAAGGTGTTTTTTTTTTCAAGAGGCAACTGGATTTTCTTGGGTTTTTTCCCTGAAGATGTTTTTGCTTCTCCTCCAAGAAGCTTCTTTGGGTTCTGACTGAATGGTGGAGAACGGAAGGGTTCATGCGAACTGAAGAAGCTCCTTGGAGGAGAAGCGAAACGGCTTCGAAGAATTAAGGAGGAAGTCCAGTTGCCTCTTGCAAAAAGCTCTTTTGGGACCTGGATGACTGAGAATCTCTATAGACATCGGCAAGAAAACCACCAAGGACTCCATGATCCACCATTCAAGTGGTGACTATTTAAAACTGAATAAATTCTATTTTAGGCTGCAAAAAACACAATGGCGAGTCCCACTAAATTCCAGTTGATTTGGTCACCGAGGAGGAAAATGAACAGCGCAGCTACAAACACACAATCAGATGGATCCTCAAAGGTTGTGAAGGAAGAAAACAAGTTTTGCAATAGTACATCAACTGATCAGGTTTACCCATTTTGCAAAACCTGGTGTGTGATTTATAAAGGAGCAAAGTTCACGCACCACACTAATCCCACATCCTTTCCAATAAATTAAATGCTCAGTCAAAGAATCCATCGCAAATCCATCGTTGATTTAGGTAGGTTTAAGGGGTTTAATCAGATTTTAAAGTAAAAGTTCCCCTCGCACATACGTGCTAGTCGTTCCTGACTCTAGGGGGCGGTGCTCCTCCCCGTTTCAAAGCCGAAGAGCCAGCGCTGTCCGAAGACGTCTCCGTGGTCATGTGGCCGGCATGACTCAACGCCAAAGGCGCACGGAACGCTCTTCCCTTCCCACCAAAGGCGGTCCCTCTTTTTCTACTTGCATTTTTTTTAATGTGCTTTCGAACTGCTAGGTTGGCAGAAGCTGAGACAAGTAATGGGAGCTCACCCCGTTACGCAGCACCAGGGATTCGAACCGCTGAAGTGCCGACCCTTTCGATCGACAAGCTCAGCATCTTAGCCACTGAGCCACCGTGTCCCTTAATCAGGTTTTAGACTTGGCAAAATTAAAGAGGATAAGATCTGCTGAGTGGCACAGAGCCACAGATCAAAGTAACAGGGGGGTCCATGATGGTCTCTTGAGCTCGGTGGATTTTTTTTGGAGACGTTTCGTTACCAAATTAGGTTACATCAAACTGGGCTAGACGAGTGGGGTTTGTGGAGAGGAGAAAGATGGAAGAGAAGGAAAGGAAGGAGGAAGAAAATGGCTAGAAGAGTGGAGCTTGTGAAGAGGAGAAGGATGGAAGACAAGAGAAGAGAGGAGGAGGAAGAAAATGGCTAGAAGAGCAAGGCTTGTGGAGAGGAGAAGGATGGAAGAGGAGAAGTTAACTGTAACAGAGTTGGAAGGGACTTTGGAGGTCATCTAATCCAACCCCCTGCTCACACAGGAGATCTGTATTAGGGATTCGAACCGCCGAACTGCCAACATTTCTGAAAGGGCTGTGAGCTTGGTGGTTTCCTTGGAGACGTTTCATTACCAAACTAGCTTACATCATCTGGGCTAGAAGAGTGAGGTGTGTGGAGAGGAGAAGGAGGGAAGAGAAATAAGAAGGAAGTAAAGGGCTGGAAGAGTGGGGCTTGTGGAGAAGAGGAGGATGAAAGAGAAAGGAGAAGGAGGAGGAGGAGGAAGAGGAAGAAAAGGGCTGTGGTTTTCCTGTAGACATTTTATGACCAAACTAGGTTATAGCATCAGTGCTGCTATAGCAAGAGTTCTGTGCTTGATTTTCATGTTTCCTGAAAGCGTCTGCCCTTTAAATTTGCTGCTCTGCCCCTCCTTTCTCTGAAGAAGCACCCCAGATTTTCCTTTCCCCCCTCCCCTTCACAGTTTCTCTCCCATTGCCTGTTTATTCCACCCAGATGTGTGGGGCGAGTCCCCCCCCCCCGCCCCGAGACAGTCAACTCACCCCCTCTTTTTCATTCTCCATCAGCACTTTCTTCAGCGCCACCTTCTTGCCCGTCTGCCGATGTTTGGCTTTGAAGACCTCCCTGCAGAGAAGAGCGTTAAGAGGGGAAGCCGGTTAGGCAAAGCTGAATCAGCCGAGTAAACCAGGAATGATAGCTTGTTGGGACGGAGCCCGATGGAAGATAATTCTCCCCTCCACTGGGTTCCATCAGCCTCTGCTCCGGAATCTCCGTTGCTGGGAGACCAACAACGATGGCAAAGGCTGGGGCTGATGGGCCCACAATGCGGGAGGACGGAGGACCGGCTGCAGGAGCTCGTGAGGTCTCTTTCTCCCTCCGTGCCGAGATTCAGAGGCTCGAGGTGGGGTGAAAAAAAAAAGGGGGGGTCCCTGTGCCAGGGGCCAAAGATCGACGGATGAGCTCAGCTCACCTTGGTGGAGCAGCGGACTAAAGCGCTGTCAAAGTAGCACTTAGCTGCCTGCAATTACTGCGAGTTCGAATCTCACCAGGCTCAAGGTTGACTCAGCCTTCCATCCTTTCGAGGTAGGTAAAATGAGGACCCGGTTTGTGGGGGCAATAAGCTGACTTTGAATAAAATAGAACACAGCTCAGGGCCCCCAAAAAGCCCTACTAAGCAGGTATATACAAAAGTATGAAGGCTATTGCTTAACGCATTGTAAGCCGCCCTGAGTCTCCGGAGAAGGGTGGCATATAAATCAAATTAGATAGATAGATAGATAGATAGATGATAGATAGATAGATAGATAGATAGATAGATAGATAGATAGATAGATAGATATAGATAGATATAGATATAAATATAGATATATACAAAAGTATGAAGGCTATTGCTTAACGCATTGTAAGCCGCCCTGAGTCTCCGGAGAAGGGCGGCATATAAATCAAATTAAATAGATAGATAGATAGATAGATAGATAGATAGATAGATAGATAGATAGATAGATAGATAGATATAGATATAGATATAGATATAGATAGATATAGATATAAATATAGATATATATAAAAGTATGAAGGCTATTGCTTAATGCATTGTAAGCCGCCCTGAGTCTCCGGAGAAGGGCGGCATATAAATCAAATTAAATAGATAGATAGATAGATAGATAGATAGATAGATAGATAGATAGATAGATAGATATAGATATAGATATAGATATAAATATAGATATATATAAAAGTATGAAGGCTATTGCTTAATGCATTGTAAGCCGCCCTGAGTCTCCGGAGAAGGGCGGCATATAAATCAAATTAGATAGATAGATAGATAGATAGATAGATAGATAGATAGATAGATAGATAGAGATATAGATATAGATATAAATATAGATATATATAAAAGTATGAAGGCTATTGCTTAATGCATTGTAAGCCGCCCTGAGTCTCCGGAGAAGGGCGGCATATAAATCAAATTAGATAGATAGATAGATAGATAGATAGATAGATAGATAGATAGATAGATAGATAGAGATATAGATATAGATATAAATATAGATATATATAAAAGTATGAAGGCTATTGCTTAATGCATTGTAAGCCGCCCTGAGTCTCCGGAGAAGGGCGGCATATAAATCAAACCAATAAATAAATAAATGCCAGGAGGGGCAATTAAGGTCTCTAACACAAGGGAAGATCCCGTGTTGTGTGTTTGTGTGTGTTTTGGGGGGGGGGAACGGGGTGGAGGATTGAAAAAGGAAGATGATGGCAAAGGAGAGAAGTTACCTACTGATGATGAGATTATTAAGAAAATCATGGAACGTGCTGAAACGAGTAAATTGACATTTGAAATTAGAGAACAGGAAGATAAAACAATGTTATTTGGGATTTGTTTGATCAATGGATAGATAATAAATCACGGAAGCATGAAATATGAGGTTGATGCAAAGATAAAGTATCCGATGTTTGTTTTTTTTCCTACAAAAGATATAATTTTTTGTTATAAATTGGTATTTTAGAAATGGATTTACGCAAAAGAGACTAGGAACCATTCGACTCACTGTCTGTTATTGTTTGGAAGGATGATGGTTTTATGTTTTTGTTTTTTTTTAATTTGATTTGTTTTAATTTGATCTGTTGTTCCGCCAGGCAGGGCTATCAATATAATAATTTTAAATTGGGGTATTTTAATTTTTGGGGTTTTAAATCGGCCAAATTTATTTAATTATTTTAATTTTTAATCATTGTTGTGTCCTGTGTTTTTAAATTGGCTGTACACCGCCCTGAGTCCTTCGGGAGAAGGGCGGTATAGAAATAAAATTATTATTATTATTATTATTATTATTATTATTATTATTATTATTATTATTATTATTATTATTATTATTTATATGCCGCCCTTCTCCGGAGACTCAGGGAGCAATAGCTTTCATCCTTTTGTATATTTATACAAAGTCAGCTTATTGCCCCCACAATCTGGGTCCTCAATTTACCTACCTTAGAAAGGATGGAAGGCTGAGTCAACCTTGAGCCTGGCGAGATTCGAACTTGCAGTAATTGCAGCAGCTGATGTTAATAACAGTGCTTTAGTCTGCTGCGCTACCAAGGCTCTGTTCTGGTTTTGGTTTTAAAATAAAATAAAAATTCTCAAAAAAAAAAAGGAAAAAAAAGGGAGATGATGGCCATAGGATCAAAAGCACATGGGGAGAAAGGGGCAAGAAGCGACTAACCCGAGACTACAAGCCCACCCACCCACTCATTGCAGCTTCCTGGACTACAATCCCCATCTTCCTGAGCTGGGGTATTGGGGGGGAGGAGGAAGAGCTCTGTTTCTTTCTTTCCCCATCCTTCAATAGAGGATGCTGGGAGGGGGCTCCCCAAGGAGATGGAGGGTGGGGGGAGCCCGTGCTAACAGCAAACAAGAGTCGGAAGGGACCTTGGAGGTCATCTAGCCCAACCCCAACCCTTCCTTCCTGCTCCCAACAGGGAGACCCGTACTAAGAGATTCGAACTTTTCTGATTGACCAAGCTTCAGGGCTGCCTCCAAATGGGGAAGGGTGCCCTCTGGCCGGGAATGATGGGTCTTCCAATCCCTTCGCCCGTGCTGTGCACCATGGGAGAGTGGGTGGGTGCGAACAGGCAGCGCAGGGGCAGGAGGGCCTGCAGTCTGGGGGGCTGGGGAGGATGGGGCTTGTAGTCCAAGGATGGTGGTGGTGGTGGTGATGGGAGGGGGTTGTGTGTCCCCAAACGGGAGGGCACGATGGGTCTTCCAAGCCCGTGCAAAGGGGGGTCCGGCTGTGCACCATGGGAGCGGGGGTGCGAACAGGCAGAAGGGGGAGGGTCTGGGGAGGATGGGGCTTGTAGTCCAAGGGTGGTGGTGGTGATGGAGGAGGGGGTTGTGTGTCCCCTAACGGGAGGGGACAATGGGTCTTCCAAGCCCATGCAAGGGGGGGGCTGTGCACAATGGGAGCGGGGGTGCAAACAGGCAGAAGGGGGAGGGTTTGGGGAGGATGGGGCTTGTAATCCAAGGGTGGTGGTGGTGATGGTGGGGGGGGGGGGTTGCGAGAGGGAACGATGGGCTAGGGAGTCCCCCCAAGCAGAAGGGGGAGGATTTGGGGAGGATGGGGCTTGTAGTCCAAGGGTAGTGATGGTGATTGGGGGGGTTGTGTGCCCCCAAATGGGAGGGGACGATGGGTCTTCCAAGCCCGTGCAGGGGGGGGCGGCTGTGCACCATGGGAGAGGGGGGAAGGGTGCGAGCAGGCAGCGCAGGGGCAGGACGGGCTTGGAATGGGATGGGGCCTGTAGTCCAAGGGTGGTGGTGGTGGGGGGTGTTGCGAGAGGGAACGATGGGCTAGGGAGTCCCCCCCAGGCAGTAGAGGGAGGGCCTGGGGAGGATGGGGCTTGTAGTCCAAGGGTGGTGGTGGTGCTGGGGGGGTGTTGCGGGAGGGGACGATGGGCCAGGGAGTCCTCCCCAGGCAGTAGAGGGAGGGCCTGGGGAGGACGGGGCCTGTAGTCCAAGGCTGGTGGTGATGGTGGGGGGGGGTGTTGCGGGAGGGGACGATGGGCCAGGGAGTCCCAGCCCACGTGGGAGGGGAGGGGAGGGGAGGGGGGGGAGGGGAGCCTCACCCGAAGGTGCCCTGCCCGATCTTGGCCAGCTTCTCGTACTTGGAGACCTCGTCGCAGTAGGGGCACTCGGCCGCGTCGTACTGCTTGGCCATGGCGGTGCCCGGCGCGGCCCCAAACTCCGAGGGCTGCCGGCAGCCTCCTTCCCCCGAGCGCGCAGGGGCGCTTCCGGCACCGCTTCCGCCCGGCCCCTCCATCGCCCCTTCAGCACTTCCGGCGCGCGCGACGGGGAACAGGGGAGGGAGGGGGGAGGCGGGGCCCGCCGCGGGGCAGCCTGGGAGGAGCAGTCCGAAGCTCCACGCCCCGCCCACCCCACGCCCCGCCCCGCCCGGCTCTTCCACGTGCTCCTGGTGGGGGGGGGAACAGCAGGCGGAGGCGGAGGGAGGGGAGGCTATGATGAGATCGGAGAGGATGATGGGCTCTGGGTGGGAGGGGAGGATGGGCTCTGGGAGGGGATGATGGGCTCTGGGAGGCTATGATGAGATGGGAGGGGATGATGGGCTCTGGGTGGGAGGGGAGGATGGGCTCTGGGAGGGGATGATGGGCTCTGGGTGGGAGGGGAGGATGGGCTCTGGGAGGCTATGATGAGATGGGAGGGGATGATGGGCTCTGGGTGGGAGGGGAGGATGGGCTCTGGGAGGGGATGATGGGCTCTGGGTGGGAGGGGAGGATGGGCTCTGGGAGGCTATGATGAGATGGGAGGGGATGATGGGCTCTGGGTGGGAGGGGAGGATGGGCTCTGGGAGGGGAGGATGGGCTCTGGGAGGGGATGATGGGCTCTGGGTGGGAGGGGAGGATGGGCTCTGGGAGGGGAGGATGGGCTCTGGGAGGGGATGATGGGTTCTGGGAGGCTATGATGAGATGGGAGGGGATGATGGGCTCTGGGTGGGAGGGGAGGATGGGCTCTGGGAGGGGATGATGGGCTCTGGGTGGGAGGGGAGGATGGGCTCTGGGAGGGGATGATGGGCTCTGGGAGGCTATAATGAGATGGGAGGGGAGGATGGGCTCTGGGAGGGGATGATGGGCTCTGGGAGGCTATGATGAGATCGGAGGGGATGATGGGCTCTGGGAGGGGATGATGGGCTCTGGGAGGCTATGATGAGATCGGAGATGATGGGCTCTGGGAGGGGAGGATGAGATCGGAGGGGAGGTTGATGGGAGGGATGATGGGCTCTGGGAGGCTATGATGAGATTGGAGGGGATGATGGGCTCTGGGAGGGAATGATAGGCTCTGGGTGGGGAGGATGGGCTCTAAGAGGGGAGGATGAAATCAGAGGGGATGATGGGCTCTGGGAGGGGATAATGGCAGGGGTGAAATCCAGCAGGTTCTGACAAATTCTCAGAACCGGTAGCAGAAATTTTGAGCACTTCGGAGAACCAGCAAATACCACCTCTGCCTGTGCCCAGAATGGGGTGGGAATGGGGATTTTACAGTATCCTTCCCCTGCCACGCCCATAGAACCAGTAGTAAAAAAATTTGGATTTCACCACTGGATGATGGGCTTTGGGAGGAGATGATGAAATCAGAGGGGATGATGGGTTCTGGGAGGGGAGGATGAGATCAGAGGGGAGGATGGGCTCTTGGAGGCTATGATGAGATCATAGGGGAGGATGGGCTTGTGGGGGTTGGGATGATGGCTTCCAAGGGGGATGATAAGCTCAGGGGAGATGATGGGCTGGGGGAGGGAATGATGGTTTTTGGAGGCAAGGCTTTACCTCTCGTCCCCGTTTTTGCAAGGGAAGAAGCCTGAAACAAAAATTTCCTCGCCTTTCCAAGGATGCATATTTGCAAAGATTCATGCAATTAAATTTGGGGGGAAATTGAAAAAAGTTCTCATCTAAAGTTACCCACAAACTGGACTTTTTATTTATACACCTAAACATAAGAAGGACTAAATTTACTGTCATTCATTTAATTTTGCTGAAAAATCCTTTTCGTTTTATCTCTCTCTCTTTCTCTCTCTCTTTTTTCTTTCTTTCTTCCTTCTTTCTTTCTCTCTCTTTTTCTTTTTCTTTCTTTCTTTCTCTTCTTTCTCTGCCTCAGTCTTTCTTTCTTTCTCTTTCTGTCTCCGTCTCTCTCTCTCGCTTTCTTTATTCTAACCTGACTCATTGTCTTTTGAAATATGGTTGCAAATTTTTTTTAAAAAAAAACTTGCGCCCCATTCCTGCCTGGGAAATAACACAACCGTAAACACAAACTACTGCTATTCTAAAAATAAAAGTTGACGAAAACAAGGGAAAGCTATAGAAACGACATGATGCAACACAACGCTGACTTTTTTTTCCTAAAAATACACCAAAAGTCACTCTTCTTGTTTCCTCTTATAAAAACTCAATGAGGAACAGAAACATGTGCGACTTCTTTTCTACAACCGTGGATTGAATCAAGATGCAGAGCCTGTTTTGGTTAAATTTTAACCCCGACACGAGGCAGATTTATCTCGGCCCGTGTATGTCCTGCGCTGGAAAAAATAGTTTTGTTTTTTTTTTTACATGCTTTTTCCAGTTAAGATCAAGAGATTTGATATGTTGGAGAATTCAAATGGGTAACCCACCTCCTCCCTTGCAAATTCAAAGGCATCTGCTTTTGTTCCTCCCCAGTTTCCAATTTTTTATTTTTAAAAAAAGGTCTTTTGGAAAATCAAGAGAGAGGAAGTGAAAAAAAAGAGAGTTTTTTTTTTTAAAGTTGTTTTATTTTTTACATACAGACAAACAAAACATATAATGTATTTTTTTCTGAGCAGAGTATTTGCCGGTTCACAAATTTAAACAGTTTTTAGTCATTTCAACTAAATTTACAATTTATATATTCCCTTTTTGACATAATAATCATTCTATTTTTTTAAAAAACCAATATTATCCTTCATCCTAACCTCTAATCTTAACCAAATTCAGTTTTTCCCTTCATCTCTGTTAAATATTCGGGCCAAAATTATTTAATTGTTTTTTTAAATGTTTTTAAATTTTATATGCTATGTTTTATCCTGGCTGTACACCGCCCTGAGTCCCGCAGGAAAAGGGCGGTATAGAAATATAATAAAATAAATAAATAAATAAATAAACCCCTTAAATTTAAAATCTCACAAGTATAACTCCTAGCATTCCCTTATATTCCTTGAATATAATCACTAATGTTTTCCATTATCAGCTGTTTCAATATCTAATATCGTAATACAAATCAATTAATTATGTGGCGTTACAATCATTCGTTTCTTATAAAAGTAGTAAACCCAATTGTTTCTTGTTCCAAATAATGTAATCCAACATCTTAATAAAGACCAGTTAATTATATCGCCAACTTTTCTCTTTATATATTAATAACAAACCAAATAACTTTCTGCCATATAATTCCTCGAATCTTATCTCTAATTTTCAATTATTTTATCAAACATAAAATAAACATAAACTCAAACATAAAAGAGCCTGAGCGGCGTAGGAGGTTAATGCCTCCTACTAAGGCAGCATTTAACATCCAGCTGCCTGCAATTACTGCGAGTTCAATTCTCACCAGGCTCAAGGTCGACTCAGCCTTCCATCCTTTCTAAAGTGGGTAAAATGAGGACCCAGTTTGTGGGGGCAATAAGATGACTTTGTATAAAATATACAAAAGGATGAAGGCTATTGCTTAACGCATTGTAAGCTGCCCTGAGTCTCCGGAGAAGGGCGGCATATAAAAATAAATAAATAAATAAATATGTATTTATACTTCTTCAAACAACATCTTAATCGTTTCTGCTTTCACCACAATCTAATTAATATTTTAATTAATGGGGCCAAATCTATATATATATATTTTTTAAATGTGTTTTAATATTTGTATTTGATGTTTTTATTTGGCTGTTCACCACCCTGAGTCCTCAGGGAGAAGGGCGGTATACAAATTCAAAAATAAAATAAAATAAAAATAAAATAAATATGCAATATTTCAATTTTTCTTTTTTTGGATTAACCCACTTCCCTCCCTTGTAAATTCAAAGGCATTTGGTTTTGTTCCTCCCCAGTTTCCAATTTTATTTTATTTTTTTAAAAAGGCTTTTAGGAAGATCAAGAGAGAGGGAGTGAAAAAAAGAGAGATTTGAGAGAGATTGGCAGGGTGCAGTTCTAACTTGTGCAAGGAGGGAGGAAAAGAGCGAGCAAGGGAGGCGTCGGTGGGTGGGTGAGTTGGGTGACTGTGGGAGAGGAAGAGAGGCAGGACAGAATTGATGATGACACATCATTTGCAAAACTTCTCTTGGCCGAATCGGGGAGGGAGCCAAAAAAAATAGAAAAGAAATGGCTGAAAGCCAGAAGAAAAGAAGCGGCTTTAAAAGTAAGTGTGGCATCAGGTGGGGGAAAGAGGGCAAGCAAATTTGATGGCTGGGTCATCTTTGGGCAGGAAATGCCCAAGGGGACCAGGTGGCACGTCGTGCGCTGAGTGGCTTCCACGATGCTGGTTGCCCCCCCACTACTCCAGCAAAATTCTTGGACATCAATTAATTGGCCAACTTTCTCCCCCCCCCCTATTGATTTTAATTGGGTTGTTTTGAATTGTGCCCAAAAATATTTAATTTAATTCCAGCAAACTGACCTGGCCTAACTCTCCTCTTTTAATTTTTTTAAATTCGTGATTTTATAAATTGGGTGTTTTAATCTGTGTTTCGGCCAAAATATTTAATAATTTTAAGGGATTTTTCATATTTGTATTATCTGTATTTTATCTTGGCTGTTCACCGCCCTGAGTCCTTCGGGAGTAGGGCGGTATAGAAATTTGATTAAATAAATAATAAATAAATAAATAAATTATTTTTAAACTGTTTTTAAATTTTGTATGTTCTGTTTTATTCTGGCTGTTCACCGCCCTGAGTCCTGCCGGAGAAGGGCGGTATACAAATTAAAACAAACAAATAAATAAATATTGTGTGAATGTTCAAAGGGGGGGGGAAGAGAAGAGAAGGAGAGTTAGAGAAAAAAAACCCCGCACATTTTTGCATTATTTTTTTTTTAAAAATTTGATTTATATGCCGCCCTTCTCCGGAGACTCAGGGCGGCTTACAATGCGTTAAGCAATAGCCTTCATACTTTTGTATATTTTATACAAAGTCAGCTTATTGCCCCCACAAACTGGGTCCTCAATTTACCTACCTTAGAAAGGATGGAAGGCTGAGTCAACCTTGAGCCTGGTAAGATTCAAACCTGCAGAA